TAAGCTAGCCTAAGTGAGGAGAAATTGGAACTGAAATGAATGCTATTAAGAGTTCACCAGACCATTGTCATTCAGTTGATATGACTCCTAAAAATTGAATCCTAAGTCTGTGTCCTAGTAATACCCAAAGATTTGCTATCTGATACCAAGAAGGGACCCTGGGGAGGTTTTGAAACATTCTTGCCTGGAAGCTGTATTATGAGCTCTCTCCCCTTATTGAAGGACAAGATGTTTTCGAAATGTTTGCAGATGAGAAGCATGACATCATCTTCCTGAATTATACTTAATCGTGTGTAGGCCTGTAGCACGTCACAGTTGTTAATGTTGTGCTTTAATTAAGACTGATGTCAGTGGGTGCTGATGGCTTCGAAATGCACATTTCACTGTTAACAGTAAAAATGTAGTTTGATGGTGATGTCATTTGTTTGGGAGCTTCCCACGCACAGCACCGAGGCCTAAGTTCTTAAGATATATTTGTTCTTATGTGCCCACAAGTTGGAATCAACTCATAACTGACCCTTGAGTGGATTTACAGAGGCTATAAATCATACGGGAGGAGATTAACCATCTTTCTTCCTCATGGGAGGAGATGCCTATCTTTCTCCCTAGGAGCATATGGTAGATTTGAATGGCCTGCTTTTGGGTTGACAGTGTAACTTTTAGCCACTCGGCCACCAGACTTCCTTTTAGTTACGGTAGTCTCAACTCACTCACTATTGAAAATATACCCTAAAGAAACCAGAGTTGTGACATGGATGTATGCACACTCAGGTATTCACAATAGCAAAGAGATGGAAGCAACCCTAGTGTCCATCACCAAACAAATGGATAGAAAAACTGGGCATTCACACAATGGTATATTACACAGCAATGAAAAACAGTGACTGCAAAACTCTGCACAATATAAATGAGTCTGGACAACATTATGCTGTGTGAAAGATCTCAGTCACAAAGGACAAATACTGTGTAAGACCAGTGATATATTAATAAAAAAAGGAGGGTGGACTTCAGGT